TCGGAGAGTGATGCGTCTCCTGGAAACGTAATGTACTAGCAGATTAGCCTTATCCATGTCTGCCTCGACAGCATCGAAAGACATTTGTTCTGCAGCTGACGACTGCCGTTTGGTGTCTTTTAGTAATAAAGCATAAAGGAGTGCCATTGTTGCGGTCAAAGCAGGTAGAAAGCGACTATGGTGTGTTAACATACGAAGAAGTGATTGCAACCCACTGATATTGCCTGGTCTGGGAGAGCCGAGGCTGGGCTGAATTTTTTCCTTAGTGGGTGCAAAACATGTTTAGTTAAACGAAATCCAAGCTACTGAACACTGTCGGTGAAAAATACACTTCCAGATTTCTTCAGTTCGAGTATACTATTTTCGAGACATCTCAAGACCGTCGCAAGCGATGTCATGTGGTGCGATCCGTGCGACCAGCAACTAGAATGTCGTCTAGATAAGCGCATACACCAGGTATTCCTTTTACCAAATTGTCAATAACAGGGTGCAACGTCATTTTTATAACAGAAATGAGATAAGATGTTTCTATTAGTACCAAGTGAGCTGATTAGGAATATAAAAATCAACTTTTTCTATCACACCAATCTTCTTTTTAACTTCAATTTAGTTTCAGCTTAGCAGTGCATTCCATGCATCGAATACTCACGTGTGATTGTTCCGTTGGCTCTCTGTAATCGTGGAAATGAAATCCTGTTGACCACGGTATCCACCTGATACTGAGAGTAGATGGAGAGCTATGTTTATTTACTTGATATCTGGATCATGACTGAAAGACGTTGCTGTGTCATTGACTGAAATCCTTTTTGTTACGTCTGTATACTGTTTCCTACAAAGCCGCAGTGTAGACATACTTCTTCACTACTGAAGTCCGCCTACCACGCAGATTTCGTGATGAAACTGGGAGATTAGGATAAGAAGCGGACGCCGCATATTGTCTTGTGTGTCGGGCAATCTTCAGCTGACTAAGTGGCTCAAGGGCAAAGGCAAGATGCCATTTGCAATCCCAAAGGTGTGAAGGGAGCCGAAGGGTCACACTACAGACTGCCATTTTGTCTTGCCACTGTTAATAGAATCACTAACCGAAACAAAGAAAAAATCCATTACTTCGATCTTCCATCAGCTATTCGACCTTTTCCTCATGATTGCACCTTACCCATGCCAGTGCCTCCAACGAACATGTCACTGATGATGAGTAGTGATTCCGCATCGTCAACATCACCTAATTCAGATATATGAAAAATTTGAAGCGAATGTTTTCAACCGACCTCTTGTTGAACAAGCGGAGCTGAATGACTGTACGTGACCTAGGCTTGCGTAAAGACGAGGCCTAGTTGCTGGTATCTCGGCTGAAGCAGGGGCGCTTATTTGCTACAAAAACTGAGGTTACTGTATACAGAAGGCGAAGCGTTAATTTGTCCGGTTTCTATGACATCAAAGAAACCATTTGTTACTGTTCCGATGTGGAAGGAATGATGAAAGGTCTTGGCGTGAGGCATATCAGTGATGAATGATGTTTGTTCATTGACTCGTCCAAGAGTAGTCTTAAGGCCATACTGCTCCACGGTGGGAATGTGTACTCAACTGTGCCTCTGTTGTATGTTGCCAAAATGAAGGAGAGTTACGAAAGTATGCAACAGACACTCGCTGCGCTGAACTATGCTAAGTGCAGTTGAAACATCTGTGCTGACTTCAAACTCATTGCACTCTTAATGGGTGTGCAAGAAACTTCATAAAATATTACTGTTTCCTGTCCTTATGGGACGTTACAGCAATTCAACAGTACTACACAACGGAAAAGTGGCCAGAGAGGACGGAATGTGCTGCATAGAAAATGAGTGTAAATCATATGCCTTTTTTACGACCTGATCGTATCTATCTACCACCCCTGCACATCAAGCTTTGTTTGATTATAAACTTCGTCATAGCTTTCAAGAGAGACGGTTTTGCCTTCCAGTAACTGCAACAAGTGTTTCCGAAGATCAGTGATGCGATGCTCAATAAAGGTACATGTTGTGATTCAATACATTTACATATTATTCGAACGACGTAGTCATGGCATTACTGAAATTAATCGTTTCTTGTAAAAATGTAGCCTGGCGTGCTAGGTAAAATCGGAATACATTTCTATGATCAGTGGAGTGTATTCTATAAGGTAGGGACATTGGCATTTCTGCTATAGAAAACGAATTTTTTGTTGCACAGTGAAATCATCTGAAATTTTTCCCTTGCGGAATGTATTCCAACTGAAAGTCTATTGTAGTGGAGCAGACCCATGTGGGTATTGATGGCTGTAAAGAAGTATGGATCGGCTCCGTTGATGAAACTTGGCTCCCATCCACACTCCACTCGGTCTTATTACTTCGGATTTGCACTGGATATGGGATGTGTGGATGGAGCTGTGGGTGGTGCAGCGCAACCCACCCACGGTCCTTCTGTAGGCGCAGGCGTCCTGTAGGTGTCCTATTGAGGCCGCACTGACAAGTAAATCCGGAACCGCATGCCGCCAAACATTTCTCACTGGCGCGGTTTAAATCAAGTCTGGAGTACTGCTGACCACCTGACAGAATTACGTATATATCATCTATCCAAAGAACAGAGCAGTGTGCTCATGTTTCCGCTTGAATAGCAGTCAGTTTGTAGTCACCACAACTACGGACGGTGCCGTCGGGATTTTGTACTGGAACAATTGACGAGGCCCAAGATGAGTGGTGTACTGGTGATAATATTTCATCTTTTTGGAGGCATACCAGCTCTAGTTCAACTTTATGACGGATAGCGAAAGGCAACCCTTCTTTTGATAAACTTAGGTTGGACGTTCTGTCTGATATTGAAAGAAACTTTGAAATCACACTGTTTACTCGGGAAATTTGCTTCAAACACATAACCGTACATTTACAACAATTAAGGAACGTCTGTAAACTGTCCTAATCTTGAACGGCTTGCAGTAGTTCCGGAATTTATTTGAGCTGGTTTCGACCAAATAAGTTCGGGATATCTGTGTTAACAGTAATTAAAGGAAGAGTAAGAGTGTCTGCCCAAGGAGTAACTCTCACTTCACACAACATCAGTACGTCAAGCGATTCACAAGTATAAGAAGATAAAGTAGAGTGGGTAAGGACCGTCGGTAGTTTGGGCAGTCTAGTTTGTTGACTAACGTAACCGAGGTTCCCATATCGATTTCGTAGCGTACAGGCTGGTCTTCATTCTCCATTTCTATAGTGTATTGCGGTATTCCGCACACATGCGATGTGACTGTATGTGAATTCAAGTAAGATATAGACTTGTCGGAATTCTCTACTATCTGTACAGTATTTGGGGTAGAGTGAGCTACACGACGTGGTAGTATTGTTGAACAGCAAAAGCGTGCAAGGTGTTTTCAACCTTGTCACACTTTTAGAAAGTGGACTGTTTGTACCTACAATCAGTTGCTCTTTCATGTCTTTCATCGCAGCGGTAGCACATACAGATGCGTTCGTTGTTTCGTGACCATCAAGGGTTGACCTTGTGGATTCCATCTGTGGGATGATCGTGTTGGTAGTAAATTAATTGCTGATTCACATTTTATCCCAAACTCACCAACATGCATGCAGCTTTTCAAGTAAGTTTGCTTTCGTCTTTCAACTGCAGACCTTCTCTGGCCTTGTTGTCACGAATGCCAACAGGAAGACATTGGATAGCCATGACCACTTTAAATTTCATGCACGGAATCTCATTATAACGGCGATCCGGGAGGGAGTATTGTATGTGGGTTATAAATTCGCTACTACTTTCTTCTTCTTCTTCACTCTACCACAGTTGGGAAAAGTCTAGTTGTGCAGTAAATACATGTCGTTGTAAGCACCCAAGACTATCCAGTGATTGCAGACAGTCTGACAGGAAAGTGTTTTCGTACAACCGTAGAATATCAAACTACCTCCGATCCTCTGCGTCTAGATGTTATCTTAACAGTCTAACATATTGATGTTCAGTAACAGTGATATTTGTTACTTCAAAGAGTTCAAAATTGTCACATAATGTTATCTTCCACCGAGTCCAAACTGCAAAGGATGGTTTGCAAGCCGCTTCGTTTCAAAATGGATCAGGTGAATTAAGACGATTAATAACGAATTACTGCAGGTATAGACTCTGTCACTACTGTTAAAGTCTACACCTCCAAAACTAAGACAAGCCTGCGAACGCATTAATGGCTCGTAGCCGAACGACGCCATGACAACAGAGTACACCGAGCTGGTAACACACCACGTGTATTCTGGCAAGAACATGTACAGGACTCCGGTCGAGTAGCTGCGACCAAGCCACTAGTGGGTGGGTGCTCGATAGACATTCACACGCGCACATGTGGGGACGCGCAATGCTGAGTGTGAACATTTGACTAGTGATATTAAATCATCAGTAACACAGATGTTCGCAGAACAGCGGGCATAGAGACCTGTTTGGTGCAGTCCTCATCTACCGTGCAGTGGATATGATCGGTGGGAGAGAAGCATTCCCAGTGATTCGCGCATTGTGTACCGAAACTCCGTCAAAGTGAAGATCAAGGTACACATGTTCGTGGCAGAATAGGAACTAATGTCGCAATTTATCACACCTTGTGGGATAAATCGTACGGTGTATACAATCGTTATGTTGTGTCACACATCAGCAATGGCAACTATCCCAATTGACGTGTTCTAATGAATCCCTGCCTAACGCCGTCAGTTTTCGTCAGATCACGTTGTGATCCAGTTCCTCGAGATGACACCAACGCCCATTTATTTTCAGAAACGACATCACACACCATCGTTGCTTTCTAGCTGGAAATCCAATTGCGTTGCAATCATAATGGCAGCTTATCGCGCTGCACTTTTAGTCTATATGCAGCATCAATCGCTCAGCTGGCACAAAATAGAGAGAAAATGGTATCGTAGATGCCTGTTAACTTTGCGTAGACCTAATAAACGGCTACAAATGTAAAATGACCAGACAAATGGATACTTCACTGCATGCGCAAAACATACTACGAATGGGCTCCCGAAAGTGGTTGGGATCTGTGTTTATCAGCTGTAGGACCAATTCCGTCTTTCCAACTCCGGGGGGACCTGCAAGACAAATACATAAAGCGGAAGGACAAAGGTCGTAGGAAGCGAATCCAATTTTAAAATGCGAAGTAACACCAATAATCATATGTTCGAGCTTTCGGAAAGTTAAGGCAGACACAGATCATCCTCGGAAGCCTGGTGTTTGTATAACCTTGCCTTACCATCCATAAATTTTTGAACCCCTTGTTTTTTCTAACTTACTCCACCTCATTTTATCGCAAGTCACTGGATCTATGCTTATTCCTCTGGAACTAACAAGCAACACTTCGTGAAACCACAGTTATCTGATTGTTATATGCTTCTGTGTGTTTGAATTCGTGGCAAACATGATCAAGGATAAATTCTTAGACAGCCGGAAACAGTAGGACTTCATGTGCCAGTTAATTGGGGTTCAACCTAAAGTGGCGTGACGCACATCGTCCGTCATCCACACTAGGTGACATAGGTGAATCACGGCTGCTTTAACTAACGCTTCAGTCAGATGACAACGCAGAGACCATTCGGTTGTCAGCTCACTTTTCCGTCCTACCCCGTGCACTGTTCTCATTATTCCGTATGTTATTTACAGCGAACGACAAAAACACAAATACAATCCGGAAGACTAGCGTAAACCAAAGGACGCCAATTCCTTTTGTTCACAGTGTCATCAAGCTTCAGACTTCAGACGAGCTAGGGGTTAAATCAATCGAATGGGATGAATGGTACTACATCCGTGAAGTGCTCTCTCCCTCTCTCGAAAACTTAATCGCCCAATCGATTTCAAGGCCACCAAAATTAACAACCGACATGGAATGTGGTCTACGAGCGATGAAGGTCACATCGCAATTCAAGCCGATGGCAGAAAAGTCGTTGGAAATGTGGCACTAAGCGCGCAAAATGCTGCCATCCTAAAAAAGTAGAATGACAACAGGCACCAGGCGCAAAGTGACAAGACGTCATTCAACATGCAGGGCTCATGTGATCCCGTCAGCATGCTACTTCAAACTGGGACGCTGTCATAACACGTCGATAGTTGAAGGAGATCTAGGCCACCATCCATCTACTGGCACTGAGCACTCTACGCAACAACCGGCATCGGTCCCCGGGGCCTGTATCAGTGGTTCAAAAAATAACGACTAACAGACAATCCAAAAGGTTTACCATAAGCTCTACCCTGAAATCCGCATCCACAAATACGCTTCTTATCTCTGAGGCCATCGCCTGCTTTTATTTCAATGCACAAGCTATTTTCAGCAAGTAAACAGAGGTTCGAACTCGTCAGATTTCAATGCCTTGGGATATTGTCATGGTAACCGAAACGTGGCTGAATATTAAGATCACCACTATTAAGATATCTGTGAGCAAGATGATTCCCCTACGAAACGATCGAACTTGCATAGGATGCGGGGTAATCTCGTAGTGCTGCTCTGACCTGCATATCGATATTACCGACGATTTAGAAATTCAAGTGCTCGACTGTAGTTGACGTTCTCTGCACATAAAACTTGGTGATTTCGGTTTATTTGCACTAACTCACCGTCCTCGAACATCCACGTCACAAATGCACAACAAACTAGTTTCTGCTACAAAGGGAGTCCTGACGCGGTCATACAGCCGTGTGCTTCTTGCGAGAGACTTCAAATTGCGCACTCTGAAAGTCCCAAGGCGAACCTGTATGAAGTAACCGCCGATTTAACACTATACAGCCATGTCACCTCCTCTACAAGATTTATAACGGGTGATGTTTGTTGTATTCCAGTGGTAACTGTTTAAAATTGAAGGAACAATGTAGCCGTCTAGAGTGTCGAAGGAATTACTTTTCTTTTCGGGTTTACCAACCTTGGAACGCACGCCCAGATTCGGTAGTATGCTCCCAAACCTTAGACTTTTTCTTAAAAGGATTAGATGTTGCTCTTGGCTCCCAGAATTTGTTATCTAAACTCTTAAATCGTGGATTACGCTGAGCATGCTTTTCTACAGGGGTTATGTATCAAATGCACCTAAGTGAACGATCATATTTTACTTTTCTCACGCCTTATATCAACTACCACTGCACCCGGTGTGGTTCAGAACATTTACGCTCGATTCTTTAAGTTTACAGTGAAGCAATTTATCAGTTTTCATCTAGGTAGACGTTCGTTAGATGACCCACATATATTTTGATTACATCATATTCACCCCAAGCATCCGACGGGACGTGTCAATCACTTGCTTTTATCCCATGATAAATCATTGTTCATTGTTTTTTTATTGTTCAATTGTTTCAGTGAACAGCGTTGACGGTTTGATCCGCGTGGTTCGCATTAGATCGATGAATGGCATTAGATTAAGGGCGACCATGGCACTTGGACCCAGCAGTGCTGGACTATTTTCCGAATCCACATATATAGCGACGTCGGATGTAACCGAGTACAGACTACATTTTGTCACCGTACATCCGCGAATGTGTACTCGGCCTGTTGTGTATGAGTCAAATTTTACGACGTTGGATGTCATGCAAATAATTGTCGTAAACGCTAGATGGGATAATGGTTATGGGCGATGCAGAATCTAATTCCATAGGGACTAGCACAGTTGTCTGGCGACTATGCAGCGTTATTGTACGGAAGTCAGGGGAAGGGAGCTGGCCTCTATTCGAAAAGTCTGCCATGTTGCTGATTGCAGTAGCTTTTGAATGAAAATATATTTCCAGCAATCGATGTACAAGGAGCATCACTCTGTTTACGGTCAACAAGCTACCCAGCGAAAGCGACAGCATCGGACAAAATGGCCCTGCTTACCACAGTTTTTGCGATCCACTGTGCGAACCGGACACGTTTGACAGTACGCTTTGTAGCGAAAAGTTCCACACCGACAACAAAACATTCAGCATTTGAGAATGGGTGGAAGCCTTATATTGAAGTTCCCTAACTTCAAGTGTTCCACTTGTGCTGAACACGCGCGACTGTTCGAAGGTAGCTTTATTGAAGCTGATAACCTCTATGGCTTCTTCCCAGGAAAGCTACGAATGAGCTTCGGAAAATGAAGATTCTCGTATGCGATGATCCGTGATGCCTAATATTAACTGTTGGGTCAGCATAAATCCCTAAAAACTAGTTTTTGGAATGCTGACGAAATCACAGGATTGAACGGCACAGATCAAACGGGCAAATAAGTGATGCAATGGATTTGGAAACACTTGCAATAACCGGTAGAATATAAAACGAACTACAAAAAAATCAAGTCGGGCAGGATAACAAACATCATGCATTACTAAGCGCGCATGGCCTTCGCAATTCCCATCCGTCACAGCAGATCTGGCCGTCATTGAATAAAAGGTGACAACATATTGTCAAAATATAATACCCGTTCCAAGAAGCAATGAAAAATGAACAACGATTTATCACGGATAAAACAGCACGTGCTTGACAAGGCCCGTAGGATGTTCGGAGTAAAATTTTAACTTGGAAGGATCGACGAATAAGTAAATCGTCATTGCAATCATCTACCGATTTAAATGCAATACGGTGTAACAATAGTTTGGTATGGTAATGTGATGTGCACACACAAAATAGTATAGCGAGCTGTTATAGTTCAGTAAATGTTTGGGAAATACAAAAGGAAACGACAACAATCACACGTATGTTGCGTCATTTGACATATGTGCTATGTTACTCCAGTTTGGATACATCCAATTTACTCACGAGGACACTTCTGCATGCATCCTCAACGCCACGTTGCGGAGAGGGTCGTTAAGCACATGGTTTGATTCGCGTTATCTCGTCCTTCAAGTGGAACGGATTATATCAAGTAATGCAAGTTTGGAAGCATTTCATCAACGCGTTTTTGATTGGTGTTAAGGTCAAGGATGATGTGAATCAGAAGGGCATTCCAGGCATGGGACACACGGAGGTAGAAAACGTTTCGTCAATATTCAAGCTGACTGTTTTGCGTAGCCAGTTTGAGCTGATGGCCTCGCAGATTGGTATTTTGGCACAGATGCAACCGATTGCCTCCATATTCACCACTATTGGCTTATCCGTTGACGTGTTTCGAAAATCTCTCGACATCCGACACCGTTTTTTTCAAATTCTATGTGATAAATGTCGCGGTCCAAGAAATCAGAATACGCAGAGACCACCTGATGAGATGAAATTACATCGAAACGCGTCGTGGCTGTGCAGTGTTTTCGGGTGGGCAATACCCAATTTCCATCTACTTTGAATACGGTCCCAGTGATCGCGGTGACTAAGGTTCATTTCAATGTGAATCACAGTCCATTAAACTGAGGTTGCGTGTCGCAATCCAATCACACAACGTGTAATCCAAACTTGACCCTCCATATGCCATCAGCTTAGCTATGAATATCGACTTGGGGACCAACAGTTACAACGTGCTTCCCAGGACAACGACCTCGGGGTGATCGTGCAGTACAATATTGGTTGCTCGAGACAGGATGAAAAGTCATCGAAATGCGCCAGTCAACATCTTGGACTCTTACAGAGGGCTTTCGGGAATTATGAGCCATCAATATTTCCGCAAATGCTGAACACCTACATGAGGCCTCACGTGGAATATGCGATCCAGGCCTGGCGTCCCTGGCGCAAACGCGACGTCTATGCACTTGAATCTCCACGACGTAGATCAACCAAACTAGTAAGAGGATTGTTACTCCTATCCTACCAGCGCAGTCTGTAGTCTCTGAGATCGTAGAGTGGTGAATATCGAGGCAATCAGTTGCACCTGAGCCAAAATACCAATCTGTGAGGCCATCAGGTCAAACTGGCTACGCACTACAGTCGGCTTGAATATCGACAAAACGTTTTCTACCTCCGTGTGTCCCGTGCCTGGAATGCCCTTCTGACTCACATCATTCTTGATCTTACCTTAACGCCAATCAAAAACGCGTTGATGAAATGCTTCCAAACTTGCATTACTTGACATAATCCGTTCCACTTGAAGGACGAAATAACGCGAATCAGACCATGTGCTTAACGACCTTCTCCGCAACGTGGCGTTGGGGATACATGCAGAAGTGTCCTCGTGAGTAGATTGGATGTATCCAAACTGGAGTAACATACCACATCTGTCAAATGACGCAACATACATGTGATCGTTGTCGTTTCC